AGGTTATATTTATAGAGATTAGTTTACTCAGTCATATAATAAATCAATAAATTAATAAATTCTATTATATCAATTTATTAATTTATATAATAAATACATAAATTTATTTATTTTGATTAGACACAGCCTATTTTGCAGCATTTTTATGCATGTGGCCATTCTGCCTGACCACTGTGATGATGTATTTGGTAGTCATTAAGACTGTTCATTGTGGGCATGCTGGCTCACACCTGTACTCCCAGCATTTTGGGACGCTGAGGCGGGTGGATCACCTGAGGTCAGGAGTTTGAGACCAGCCTGGCCAACATGGTGAAACGCTGTCTCTACTAAAAATACAAAAATTAGCCAGATGTGGTGGCAGGTGCCTCAAATTCCAGCTACTTGGGAGGCTGAGCCATGAGAATTGCTTGTACCAGGGAGGCGGAGGTTACAGTGAGCCGAGATTGTGCCACTGCACTCCAGCCTGGGAGATAGAGTGAATCTCTGTCTCCAATAATAAAAAAAAAAGACTGTTCATCAAATATTCTGGATTTCTGAGTTTTTCAAAGGTTTTATTTTATTGTGGTAAGGACACATAACATGTTGAGATCTGTTTTAAAAATATTTTGTGTTCAATACATTATTATTGACTCTAGGTACAATGTAGTACAGCAGATTTCTAAAACTTTAATTAAAAAAATTTTTTTTGAGACAGGGTCTTACTCTGTCATCCAGGCTGGAGTGCAGTGGCGCAATCTTGGCTTACTGTAGCCTCCACCTTTTTTTTTTTTTTTTTTGAGATGGAGTCTTGCTCTGTTGCCAGGCTGGAGCACAGTGGCGAAGTCTCGGCTCACTGCAAACTCCGCCTCCTGGGTTCAAGCGATTCTTCCACCTCAGCCTCCCAAGTAGCTGTGACTACAGGCCCGTGACAAACGCCCAGCTAATTTTTGTATTTTTAGTAGAGACAGGGTTTCACCATGTTGGCCAGGATGGTCTTGACCTCTTGACCTCGCGATCCACCTGCCTCGGCCTTCCAAAGTGCTGGGATTACAGACATGAGCCACCATGCCCGGCCAGCCTCCACCTTTTAGGTTCAAGAGATCCTCCCATCTCAGCACCACCTCCTCACCATCCCTGAGTAGCTGAGACTACAGGGGCATGCCACCATGCCCAGCTAATTTTTTATTCTTAATAGAGACAAGGTCTTTCTTGCTATGTTGCTTAGGCTGGTCTTGAACTCCTGAGCTCAAGGGATCCTCCTGCCTTAGCCTCCCAAAGTGCTGAGATTACAGGTGTGAGCTACTGCACCTGGCCTCTAGAACTTACTCATCTTGTTTAACAGGCATTTTCTGCCCATTGATTCGTAATTCCTCACATCCCTTACTCTCTAGCTCCTGACAAGCTCATGCCACTCTTTGCTGACATAAATTTGACTGTTTTAGACACCTCATGTAACTGGAATCATGCAGCATTTGTCTTTCTGTGAAGACTCATTCATGTCATCATGTATTGCAGGATTCCCTTATTTTTAAAGACTGAACAGTATTCCACTGTGTATATATACCACATTTTCTTTATCCATTCATCTGTCAATGTACATTTAGCTTGTCTCCACATCTTGGCTATGGTCGCTAATGCCAATGAACGTGAGTGTGCAGATATCTCTTTGAGATACTGATTCAGTTTATTTGGTTATATATCCAGACATGGAATGGCTGGGTCATACAGTAGTTCTATCTTTCAGTTTTTGAAGAACCTCCGTGCCATTTTCCATAGTGGCCACACCATTTTACATTCCCACCCAACATGTGCAAGGGTTTTCTCCACAGCCTTGCCCACGACTGTCTTGTAGTTTTGGTAATTCTGGCTTTCCGAATTCTAAGCCTATTGCAGGATTGTACTTTTGGCCCTCTTGTGGTTGAATGGTGCCATGTCACTGTTGTAGCCAGTGAGTTATGAGGTGGTTACATTTTACTTCCAAGGTCAGGGCATACAATGGCCAGTTCAAGACTCTCTAGAGCTCTCTTTCCCTCTGCCACGGTGATTAACACCCAATGAGTGGCTACTCAGGCAGCCTGGGTTCCACACTGTGCTATGGGGCTGTGTTCCCAGCCAGCCTTCAGTGGATACGCAGCATGTATGGAAAATAGACAAACAGACGTTTGTTCTGAGAAGCCACCAAGCTTCTTCTTCTTTTTTTGGTTACTGCAGCATACGCTAGTTTATCCTAACAGAGCTGGCTGTTAGAGGACAATATTCTTACTGCACTGATTTCCTGGTGCTTGGGAGAGTGCTCTGTACATAATAGTACTTAATCAAGATTGGATTTATTTAGAAGACATTTCTTGTGTGTGCTTTTGAGGGATATGAAGCTCATTTAAAAATATTTGTTTTCCATTTTCCTCAATAAGTGGTAAGCATGTTAGGGACAGAAACCTTCTTGAACATTTCTGCCCTCGCCTCCCAGAACCTTAGTCCTTAGTCCATAGGCAACTTAAAATGACCTGGGTAGCTTTGGATGTGGGGTAGTTAGAGAAAGGCCCTTGAGGAGGGATGAGAAGCTGATCTGCCATGAAGAGAGCAGTGGTTGGTTCCTGGACAAGAAGACAAATGAACGATTGAGGGAAAGAGCAGCTTCTGGAAAGCTTTGGCAACAGTAAAGATAAGAGGCCAGTGAAGAGATCCCGGGAGGACAAGGAGAGCGAGGAAAAGGGATAAGCTTGGAAACATGTTCTGATAAAAAGCCGGGCATTTGTCCTCTTATCTTTCGCCAGTGGCTAAACAGTTACATCGAATACACTCTGGACACAAGGGAGAGCTGTCCTTGAGCCTGGACTCTGGGTGAGCCCTCTGGGTCTTAGACTTGAGGTACTAAGTTTTGAAATTTTCAAACTTGAAAATCACAGTAAGCAGAGAGATCTCTGAGCTACTGCCCATCTAGTGTCGCTTGCACTGAACGTTGATTATGTTGACAATGAAAAGCCAGGAGCGCTTCAAGAAGGAAAGAGGTCCATAGCCAACTGTTCCAAGAAGTCAAGGAAGTTGTGAATTTGTAGTAAATAGCAATAACTTATCAGAGGCTTTCTGATTATCAGAGTTATCAGCGGCTTTCCCCTACACCAGGCACTGTTCTGTGAGCTTTACAAGTATTACCTAGTTTAATCTTCAATCCAGTGTACTCAACCCCTTCACAGCAATCCTCCACTGTCAGTAGTGTCACCTCCATGGTAGAGACAATTGAACTGAAGTTCAGAGACATTAATTAACTTGTGTAAAATCACGTGGCTAATATGTGGCAAAGTGAGGATTCGAACCCAGATTTGTCTGGCTGTAAAGCTTGTGTTCTTTCCATTACCCCACATTACCCCTAGTGATAGATTGTCAAACATCATGTCAAATAAATCAAAGAAAAAAGCCCAACATATTCATTACCATTGCTAATTACACATAGCACCAGGAACCAGAGAGTTGGAATATAATAGAACCCCAGAAAATCTCCAAGCCTTATTTGGGCCTGAAGCTTCATCTTCTTTGCCCACTACCCTCCAACGCTTCCTGCCCGCAAAGATTATTAAGAAGTGACATGTAAATATATTTCCTTTCCTGCTGCAGTGCTCCCAGCAGGGAACTAACCAGAAGTGGGTGGAAGAAATCTGAGAAGGGAGTAGAAGGGTGCTGGGTAAACTCTTCAACTAGGGTCACTTACGGTTTATGAGTCAAAGCAAGAGTCAATGGCCAGGCAGGGAACAGGTTCAGAGTTTTCTGAAAAAGAAAGATAGATCTTACCATTATTGTATTAAAAAGTACTTGGCTCTTTCCTGATCAATCTGCTGGCCTTATGCATAAGTTAGCCATTACTATGTAACGTTCCATGCCAAAACTCAGTGGCTTCAAACAGCAATCTTTTATATTTGGCTAGATTGCTCTGCTTGTGGCTAGAGTGCCTGGTGCAGCTCTATTTCTCACTGTAGATTTGTAAGTCACCGGGAGTAGCTCTGCCCCACATAGCTCTCATCCTCCTTGGACCACTGGGGCATGTTCTTCTCATAGTGATGGTAGAGGCACAAAAGAGCAGACGAAAACATTCATCATCTCTTAAAACCTAGGCTCAGAACCGTCACACTGTCACTCCCGCCCATATATCACTGGCCAAAGCAAATCACATGCTAAGACCAAAGTGAAGGGACAACGAAATAGAGTTCTCCTCTAGGATGAGTCCTTGACAAATGAGTCTTTGACAAATGTGTGAATTCAAGTAGGGGTGATGAAGTAGGGCCAAGAATGCAATCCACCATTTCTTCTAAGAAGGACCAGGCTGGGCATGGTGGGTCATGCCTACAATCCCAGCGTTTTGAGAGGCCAAGGGGGGATGATTCCTTGAGACCAAGAGTTTGAGGTTGCAGTGAGCTATGATTGTGCCACTGCACTCCAGCCTGGGTGACAGAGCAAGACTCTGTCTCAAAAAAATAAACAATAATGAAAAAGAAAGACCACAACAATGATAAACGGCTTTTCTTTTGCTTCCTATGAGGGTGCTACTTGTTCCTATTAAACACGTACTGTTAAAAGTAAGGGCTGTGGCTATCCTGCTCATGCCACTCCATGAATACAGACATTCTAGTTTCCAGTGGTGATGGCCGTGGAGATATTAAGGCATTTCCCCTTGCTCTGCCCTTCATTTGGTATTCTTATAAAGAATCACCAACACTTGGGGCATCCTAAGATGTCCTTGTTGCTGGGAAGAACCCAAAGTGCACAGAAGTACCACTCCTTTCTGTCTCACCTGGTTTTTTGGTCTTTTTTCTCATTAATAAAAAATAAATTAGTGATCAAAATACTTTCCCCCTTCTTGGTTCTCCAGGTATATTATAAAATTCTTCAACGGCAAGACTCTGTCTTCTCTTCATTAACCTCCCTTCCCCTTCTCCCAGCCTCCTCATTCAGTGTGGTTGATACCTTCCTTGCCTGCCTGTCTGATCTCAAATGACTGTTCCCTTTCTGGTTGACTGATCATGGCTCTGCCATGCTCCTCAGGGCAATAAATACCAGTCTGGACTGCCCAGAATGGAGTCCTCTGTTTTTCCAGTTGAGAAGCCTCCTATTCCTCTCTAATTACTCGTCATTCATGAAGCTCCTTCTTCTGGTTTTCACTGTTACCCTGCTCCTGGCCCAGGTCACCCCAGGTAAACAGGATATCCAGAAGGGGATGGGAGTCAGGGAACCTGATGCATGTTCAGAGAACTCTGGGGCCTCTGACAGGTTGGGCTGGGAGAATGGCCTGGTAGAGTTCACTGAGGCCTTTAGGTAGTCTCTCTAGTCATGGGCAAGTTTGAGTTCTCTGGTGCCAACTGGTCTTCCCAGTGCCCATTACTTGACCACTCCAACCTTATTTCTGGTTGGCTCTGGAGAAGTTGAACATGATGAGCTGAGGGTGGGATAGGGTGTAAAGAGAGAGACTTAGGTATGGAGTATAGAGAAAATTGAGACTTTTTCAAAAAATTGCTTGCAAGGATTTGAATTTTGAGCTATCGTTGCCTCTAGGAAAATGGTTCTCAAGTTTCTGATTGTTTGAGGATTCCAATTCCACTTTTATATGCAGCCCCAAATTATGTGGGTTATCTTAGGTTGTAGATTCCCCAGAATGGCTGTTCCTAGTTCCCTAGAGAAAAGTCCCAGGATGTTGTGAAGAAGGCAGTATAATATCCTTGGGAGTTCTGCAGATGCCACAGAAGCCTTACAGATATTCCCATTTGTTTATTTCATATTCCAGTCACCTTTCATTGATATGGTCAGAGGGGATACTGAAGTATATCAAGAAAAGATGGCTAATTGCTACTAGGCACCTGGGTACATTATAATATGGGGGAGACAAAACCCTGGAGAGAGGGTCCTCTTTCCTCTCCCAAGGAGCTGGCCAAGGAGGAGAAGCTACCCAGTAGGTCCCATGCTACTGAGCTGGGGGGGTTCTGGGGGTCCTAATGGGGGCACAAGTGGAAGAAGAAAGCATAGTGGTCTACAATCTCCCTTAAACTTAGGGGATCCTGTGTAAGGGCGTCTTTCTCACAGATCTCCTCCTTTCCCTCATACTCCTCCACTGGGCTTTAGCCTCTCCCTTTCCCACCCTTCTGCTTTCTTTCAAAACTGACCCTGCTGTCTTCTTCCTTTTTGTTTTCAGTCATGAAGTGTTGGGGTAAGTCAGGCAGGTGCAGAACAATGTGTAAAGAAAGTGAAGTATACTATATATTATGCAACACTGAGGCTAAGTGCTGTGTGGATCCCAAGTATGTACCTGTAAAGCCAAAATTATCAAACACAAATACAAGCCTGGAATCAACTCCTGCAGTCTGACACCTCTCTTCCAACCTGGAGTCTCAGCATCCTGGGATCCCACAGCTCTATTAAACCATTCTTGGCACTATCCTGTTTCTGTCTGATAGTTCCACCTAGTTATATTTAGAAACAAGTAAAAAGAAGAAAAGTGTGTGTGTGTGTGTGTGTGTACGTTTGTGTGCGGGTGCATGCACGTTAGGAAGAACAAGATGGACCGGTAGGTGGTAATAATCTAAACTTTGCAAATAGCTCCTAGCCTGCTGACCGAGAGCTGGTCCCAGAGGATATAAATTAAAGAATATTCAGCCTGTCCATTTGATTTCTGTTTTCTTCTAGACCAGCACTGCCAATAGAACATTATGCCATGATGGAAGTGTCTCCTATTTGTGTTGTTCAATATGGTAGCTACTAGCCACATGTGCTACTCAGCACTTGAAATGTGCCCAGTGTGAATGAGAACCCGAAGGTTTAATTTGATTCAACCTAGCTTTAAATTTATATAGATAAATGTGGCTAGTGGTTATTGTATTGTACAGCATGGCTTTAGAATCTAGACTGAGGCAGGCTGTGTGTCCCAATCTATGAGTATTTTAGGGGAGTCCAGGAGGCAAGCAAGAGTCTATGATGAACACAAGAACCCATTGTTGGCCCAGGGCTTCTCTCTGTTCTCACACCAACGGCTTTAACTTTCCCTTGATCACACCTGCAGTCTGCCCCTCAGGGGCTCCAGCGTGTTGCCTCTTGTGAATCTTCCTCACTGTGGAGGGTGCTGGCACCAGGCACTGTGTGGATCCTTGCTCCATTTCTTTCCATTCCCTCCATTTGTGGCCATGGGACATTAAACTGCTGGCCGATTATTTTCCAGAACTGATCCTGAACTGAGACCACAGGAATTTTACCACATTCAGCCCCATGATCCCAAGTATCCCCAACTCTTGCTATTTATCTGACTAATCAAAAATAACTTGATTCTTTTTTTTAAATTGTACTTTAGGTTCTGGGGTATATGTGCACATCATGCAGCATTGTTGCATAGGTACACACATGGCAATGTGGTTTGCTGCCTCCATCCCCCTGTCACCTACATCTGGCATTTCTCCCCATGTTATCCCTCCCCGACTTCCCCCCCCCCACTATGTTTTATCCTGTGTTTAAAAGTTCTGTTAGGAGTCACCTGCCTCCTATTCGGCCCTTTCACATTAGAGACCTGACCTGGCTTCAGCCTTATGTCCCCAGTTCACCTTCCTGATGACAAACTTCAGCCTCAGTGTCAGTGTCTAAGTATCACCAAAGCTGTCTAGGGAAGACCATTCGATACAGGATCAGAAGACCTGGGGTCAAATCCTTGCTTCATCACATGTCAGCTGCATGACCCTAGGCAAGCCATTTAACCCTCTCAGCTCTATTTTCTCATCTCTAAAATAGGGAACTCTTCTACTCAAGGCATAGGGTTGTCATGAGAATTAAATGAGATAACAGACAGGGAAGTGCCCAGCACAGAATCTAGCGCACATTCAGTTCTTGATAAAAATGTAAGATGAATCTAGGCTGATCTCATTTTGTAATTTTCTACTTTTAGGTTCTGCACAGCAATTCTCTGCCTGGAAAAAGTTAAATCCTCCTTCACTATGTTGTCACCAGCTCCTACTTCTCAGAGTCAATAACTTATAAAGTTGAAGTAAAGCCCTGTATGCTACCATTTGTTCACTAGTTGTCTTACCCTCATGATTCAATTTCCCTCCAGTTTAGCCCTGTAATATATCTCTTGCAGACTCAACTCCCTTGCTCTACTCTGCATGGTATCAATGCCAAACTCCCAACTGTGGTAGAATACAACCATCAAATTATTTTCTCTATAGGTAAACTTTATTTTTTAAGGCAAGATCTTGCTCTGTTACCCAGGCTGGAGTGCAGTGGTATGATCATAGCTCATTACAGCCTTAACCTCCTGGGCTCAAGGGATTCTCCTGATTCTTCTGCCCCAGCTTGCCAAATAGCTGGGACGACAGGTGTGTGCTACCACTCTTTGCTGTTAAAAAAATTTTTTTTTTTGGTAGAGATGGGGGTGTTACTATGTTTCCCAGGCTAGTCTTGAACTCCTGGCCTTAAGTGATCATCCTCCTGCCTTGATCTCCCTAAGTATTGGGATTACAGGCATAAGCCACTGTGCCTGACCTATATATAGGTCAGTAGTTGATTGTTCTTAGAAAAAATAATCTCAACTAGTCTCACTGATTACACTGGAAATTCAGGGCCTCCAGCCTCAAAGACCACTCAACACTGCCCAGCTAATCTCCTGTTTTTCCCTATGAAGCTTGATTTCTCATTCTTTGAAATGACTAGTCCATGTTTTTTCCTCTCTCCTCAATCTTCTACCATTCCCTGTCCCCACCAAAATATCGTTTCTTGCCTCATATTTCAAGAAAACAGAAACCATCAGAATCACTCCATCTTCTCTCTACTAAGTCTACACAGTCTGGTATTGGGTCCTACAGCTCCTGTTGTGCTTTTGTTTACAGTGGAAGAATGAGGTCTACTCCTGAGAAATTGGCCCTTTTGCTTGTCCGTATTCATTTCCTCTCCCCTTCCCAAGAACTTCTATCATACAAAGATGCTCTAGTACCTTCCATCTTTTTTTTTTTTTTTTTTTTTTTTTGAGACAGAATCTCACTCTATCACCATACTGGAGTGCAGTGGCAAGATCCTGGAGCACTGCAACTTCCGTTTTCTGGTTTCAAGCAATTCTCCTGCCTCAGCCTCCCAAGTAGCTGGGACTACAGGCATGCACCACCACGCCTGGCCAATATTTTGTATTTTTAGTAGAGACGGGGTTTCACCATGTTGACCAGGATGGTCTCAATCTCTTGACCTCGTGATCCACCTGCTTCGGCCTCCCAAAGTGCTGGGATTACAGGCCTGAGCCACCGCGTCCCGCCTACCTTCCATCTTTTAAAAAAAAATCCCTGAGGCCCACATTTCTCTCAGGACAATGCCTCATTTATTTGCAGTGCTTAAAAAATACTTTTCAAAATGTTGTCTGCCTTCACTTTATCCATTTTTTTCTCATTCACCTTTCAGCTCAGTTCAATTTGGTTTTGACTCTGCCACCAAACCTTTTCTAGTAAAGATTACCATCTCCAGCATTGTCAAACCCAACAGAGGCACCCCTGTTTTCCTCTTATTGACCACCAAAGAGGTGTTTGACATAGAGGCCACAACATCCTCATTGAAATGCTTTCTTCTCTTGCCTTCTAAGATAGCAGACTCTCCTGGTTTTCCTCTGATCACCTGAGCCACTCATTTTCAGTCTTCTGTCCTGGCTCCTCCTTCCCTTTCCAAAGGCCAGGACTTGTTTCTGGGCTTTCTTCTCTTTTCTCTCTGCTCTTTTTCACTAGGTACTTTGAATACCTTCTATATGCTGATCACTCTCAAATTCATAGCTCCTACCCTAAACTTTCTCTAACGTCTAAACTGTATATCTTCTCCCTTAAATGACATCTCCATCTGGTTACCTAATATATCAGAATGGAACTCCCAGTGGGGACCTCACCTCACCAGGCCTTGTTAGTACCCTGTTATTTTCTTTCTTAGTAAATGGTAACAGCATGTGCCCAGATGCACCAAACCTACAAGTCATACATGATTCCTCACTTCACCTCCTCCATTCAATTTCTCAGCAAGTCCTGCAGCTCTACCTTCAAAACGCATATCAAAAGTATCCATTTCTTTTCATCTAGTTCAGGCCACTGCCAGTTTCACCTGCTCTTCTACAATAGTCTTCTGTTTCCTCTAATTAATTTTCCACATAGCAGCCAAATGGTAAATTATTTTCATTTTTTTTTCAGATCTAGTCCTGAATCCAGAGAGGTAAATTATATCCTATTACTACTCTGTTTTGCACCAAACAATGGCATTCCATTTCACTAAGAATAAAATCCAGACTCCTTGCAGTGGACCGGGAGGCCTTGCCCTACCAGTCCTTGCCCACCTCTCTGTCCTCCTCCTTATGCTCAGGTCACCCAGGCTTCCTTTCTGTTTCTTGATGTCAACATGCTCTTTTCCTGTCCCAGGGCCTAGCTACATGCTGTTCCCTCTTCCCAAGAAGACTCTGCCTCTGATGTTTATACGGCTGTTTTTGCCCCATCCTCCAGGCCTTAATTTAAATGTCATTCTTGATTATTATCTCTAATGAAGTCCTTTATATCACTATGCAAATGTATGTCCTAGCACTTCTCAAAAATCAGTATTTTGTTAATTTACTTTTTTCTTGTCTCTCTTCCAGGAGAATTTGTGTTTTGTGATCGCAGGGACCTTGTTGGTTTTACTCACCATTCCACAGTGCCTGGTACACTACAGAAACACAATAAGTATTTGCTACCTATATGATAGTTAAACTCCAAGAATGGTCACTTTCCCACTCAAACAGGTCTTTCTTTTCAAGTTCTTGTGTTTTACCATCGCCCGAAACTCAAGCCTTCTTTTTCCACCCATGTTTCACCCTCCATGATTTAGTAAATGCTTCTCTTTCCTTCATGTGGTTGTTCTGAGGAGGAGTGGTACAGTGTGAGTTTAAGGGACCTTATGGAAGGGGGCAGTCTAAGATAGCCAAGCACTTCTTTTTGAGATTCTGATGAACATCAGATTCAAGAAGAAAGGACTTTCTTCAATCTGGGCATTCAGGGATTTGAGTACATTATAGAACACATCTAGCAATGGGGAGTAGGTGGGAAATGAGGGGTAAAAAAATACTGTTTGTGCCCAAACTGGAGTTATCTAAATTCTGGTTAATTTGCATGAAGGCTTTGTTTTATATTTTGAATTCACAAAGATCTGTCTGTGTATGGGCAATCATTCAAGAATCTGATGGCAGGCTCGTACGGTGGCTCACACTTGTAATCCCAGCACCTTGGAGGCCGAGGCAGGTGGATCACTTGAGGTCAGGAGTTCAAGACCTGCCTGGCTAACGTGGTGAAACCCCGTCTCTACTAAAAATAAAAAAAATTAGCTGAGCATGGTAGGGGGCACCTGTAGTCCCAGCTACTTGGGAGGCTGAGATAGGAGAGTCACTTCAACCGAGGAGGTGGA